AAATATAAATAAGCAAAAAAATTGAATAAGCACTTTGAATATTCTAAACAGAATAAGCACTAGTCGCTAATGAATAAGTACTAGTACTTAATGGAATAGATACTAGTATCTAAAAAATAAGTACTAGTAGCATGAAAATAGAGACTAGTAGGTTAAAATGATTAAATGTTAAAACGGCTTGCCATATTGGCTCAGAGAGAGAGAGAGAGAGAGAGAGAGAGAGAGAAAATGACCTTTTAGATACTAGTACCTATTAATAGATACTAGTATTTATTCAATAAATACTAGTACTAAGTCATTAGATACTAGTACCTATTAAATAGATACCAGTACTTATTCATTAGCTACTAATACGTATTCAAAAGAATATCTAAAGAATAAGCACTAGTATCTAAAGAATAGGCACTAGTGTTAGGTAATGTTAGGTTGACTATTTTATCATTATATATTATTAAGGCTATAATGAACAGGCTGCGATGTCAAGATTGCAATGATGCAATATGTGTGTGTGTGTGTGTGTGTGTGTGTGTGTGTGTGTGTGTGTGTGTGTGTGTGTGTGTGTGAGATTGAACATTGTTACACTGTCATTTTGTTCATAGAGGACATCATTCAAACTGCAAATTGTTTACTTATATGTGTGTACAGTCGCAATAAAACACAACAAAGTGCTTTTGTCAAACTGTAAACTCCTGTCAAACTGTAACCTACAACTGTCACCCAACTAAAATCACACGCACACACTGTCTAAAAGCAAAACATATTTATCCAACCTCATTTAAAAACAGTCTGTGGGAGCCATCTTTTGGACATTCACCATATCGCATTGATTTTCATTTATTGTCTTCGGAGCCCTAATCTGTTTATTTTTCAATTACACATTCTACATTGATTAAGAAAGAAAGTTCAAATGTGTTTTTATTTTATACAGGAATAAATTATTTATAATTCAGATGAACATACAATCTTAATTTAATTTAAAGCAAACAATACATTTAAAATATATGGGTTGTATGCATATTTTGGAATTTAAAAAAAATATATATATCCAAAAAGACAAGGCCTTAAACTTGAACAAGGGTTAAACTCTTGTCGCTGTAAGAGACACAAATGATTCAGCATTTTAAAACGAATCGATTTACTCAAAGAGTCAATGACCAATCCATAAACATCCACTGTCTCATTCATGCAAGCCTATGTAAACAAAAAAAACACAGCCACTGTCCAAAGTGGCAATTATATGATAACGGACACAGCAATGCATCATGTTAAGGTCATCATGTTTGTAGCATGATCCAGGGGATTAAAACGTACAAAATATATTTCAGGCCTAGTGGAGTTGGTAACTAATAATAGTAGATGTGTAAAGTTGCATAAAATGGAAATACTCACTAATGCAAGAAAAAACTACCTCAAAAAACTGTTATCTGTGTTGTTGTTCAGTCACTCCAGTTGGAATTTTCACCCCAAAATGGCGGCCGCGCTACCGAAGCGGTTAGCTGTTACCAAAAAAGCATCAGAGCTTCGCCTCTTGTTCTTCTATACTCTTTGGTGACACTAAAAAGTATGTGGCTGCACTGGCATTCATAACGGTGCGCGTCCGACAAGCGAGCAAAACAGAGCGAACTTTTTTTCATTTCTACTTCCATAGAAATTCATTCGAGCGCACTGCGAGCGCCACCACTATAAATATCCGTGCGGACGTCCTTACTTTACTTTCACTTTTAACTTAGCGATTTAAAAGCCCCCCGGCGGTGTTACACGTCAAATAACCGGTGAGAAAATGTTCTCGGAGTCACATAGGCTACCTAATATATTTAAATACAATAGGCCTACCTGATTTTGAACACAAGAGGGCAGTATAGCCCTATGTATTACTTGATATATTTATTTTTTGACTGAAGAGTGAATCCTGGCTGTTTTTAAACTTTTACATTATTCTTAAATTGAAAACAAGAATAAAATGGGTTTAGTTCTGTTATTTCTATAATTGTATCTAGAAATAAATGGTGTATAATTAAATTTTTAAAAGATATGAGGCTTTTAGTGTTTATTTTTTTGACATGATTTTAATCCCTCGCCATAGCAAAACAATTTGAGATATTCAATAGATATTCACAATTATGCTTCTTTAATGTATTTTCATCATGTTAAAAAAGTTTGGTGGGAATAGAATAAACCACTTAAGAGGAGTGGGTAAAAATGTAGAGGCTGGTTTTGCAAAACATTCACATTCAGACCAAAATCCCACTTCCTTTTGGGCTGGCTTAAAGTTGTTTGGCCCGATGAGATCTATATACCGAGTTTCATAATATTACATGCAAGTGTGTTTGATTTATGGACCAAATTTTCAGACCAAGTTTATGGACCAAGTTAATTTAATTAATAAACTAATTATATAAAACTATTTTCAATGCACTACAATTAATTTGGTTATATGCCTTTACTTATTAATAAAACCTATTTAAAAAATACAAGGCGTAAGCCATTTATTTTCCTTTTTAATGCAGGCAAAACCACACAGCAGTGAAATGGTTAATCTAGCCCCCCTCCCCCTCCCCCTCCCCCTCCCCACACTCACAGACACACACACAGAGACGTAGGCTCAGAGAGAGACACATAAAATGACAATTTTCAAACCAAAATATCTAACTTCCTGTTGGTCGTAGCTAATTACGGTAAATTAGAAAGTTGTCCGGCTCGAAGAGTACAATATACATATCGAGTTTTGTTACTGTAGATAAAACTAACCCCCCCACTTTTGTCAAAAGCATTTAGAAAGTGACACACTTCCTGCTGCCAGTTGGTGGCGCTATAACTTTGACTCAGAATAGTTACATCCATCTGATTGGCCTCTTACCACGAACACACTGCTGAAGTTTCATTAAGATCAGTTAATGTATGCAGAAGTTATAACACTTCGTGTTTCTCTTTTCTCGCCATAAATTCGTTTCCTCGCCACGGCCAAACCGTTCGAGATATCAAAAATCCGTCCGCAATTTAGCATCTTCAATGTGTTGACCTCAAGCTGACCGAGTTTGGCGGTAAACGGATGCAATCTCTAGGAGAAGTACTTCAAATTCCTGAGCAAGCGTTCTCCAAACAACCCATAATAGCCGACTTCCTGTTGGGCTGGCGTAAAACTTGACCGAGGGTAGGTTGTTCGGCCCGATGAGATCTGTATGTGTATTGAGTTTCAGATTAATTCATGCAAGCGTGTTTGATCTATGGACCAAGTTTTGGGGACCCCGTTCAAGGGGGCGCTGTTGAGCCCCCTTGCCACGCCCGGATACCAGCTTCAGCCCGGGCCTGATGGCTGTGGGCGCTGACCTGTGTGCAAAGTTTCAAGAGTTTTCAAGCACATTAAGGGCCCCAAAAGCCCCTGAAACCTTGAACACCATTAAAATAATAGTCAAATTCCCCAACCCCCCCACACACAGAGACAGAGGGAGAAAATTCTCCTGAAAATCATATTCAAACCAAAATATCTGACTTTGTGTTGTTCGGAGCTAATGACTGTCAATTAGAAAGTTGTCCGGCTCGAGGAGACGAATATCCATACCGATTTTTGTTACTGTAGGTAAAACTAATACCCCATTTTTGACTAAAGGTGGCGCTACTGAGCCCCTCACCACGCCCGTTTCTGAAACTTTGCACGTGTCTACTAGCTAATAAATGAGATGTGTCTGTCGAGTTTCATGCAATTTCAAGCATGCTAAGAGTCTCAAAAGCATCAAAAAAGAATATTAAAGTTTGATGCGTTGCCATGGCAACATTATCTTAGATATTAAACAATCCTTTCACAGGTCTACATCTGCCGTGTTTTTACATTATACAGATGAAGTTTGAAGCAAATCGGGTAAAAATAAGAGGGTGATTTCAAAGCATTTTGAAAGTGACACACTTCCTGCTGCCAGTTGGTGGCGCTATAACTTTGACTCACAATAGTCACATCCATGTGATCGGCCTCTTACAACGAACACACTGCTGAAGTTTCATCGAGATCAGTCAATGTATGCAGAAGTTATAACACACTTCCTGTTTCTTGTTTCTCGCCATAAATTCGTTTCCTCGCCACGGCCAAAGCGTTCGAGATATCAAAAATCCCCTGGCAATTTTTCATCCTCAGTGTCTTGACTTCATGCTGACCGAGTTTCGTGCCGTGTGTTTGAATTCTCTAGGAGGAGTATTTCGAATTCCTGAGCATGGGTTTTCCAAACAACCCTAAATAGCCGACATCCTGTTGGGCTGGGGTAAAAAATCAGAGCATGAAGTATATATGAACCGATGAGATCTATAAGTGTACCGAGTTTCATATTATTCCATGCAAGCGTGTTTGATTTATGGACCAAGTTTGCGGACCGCGTTCCAGGGGGCGCTGTCGAGCCCCCCTGCCACGCCCGGGTACCAGCTTCAGCCCGGCCCTGATGGCCGCGGGTTCTGACCCGTGTGCAAAGTTTCAAGAGTTTTTGAGCACGTTAAGGGCCCCAAAAGTGCCCAAAAGGTAGTAAAATAATAATAATAATAATAATCCTTAGGAAAACAATAGGGCCTTCGCCTTTTCAAGGCTTGGGCCCTAATAATAATAATAATAATAAATAATCCTAAGGAAAACAATAGGGCCTTCGCCCTTTGGGCTTGGGCCCTAATAAACTGGACACTCAATTTACTATAAATGAGTTTAGATTTGGATACTGTGCACTGGAACCTGTGAAACTTTCATTGCTAACTAACTACGCTGAACCACAGAACTCTAATGTTGTTCATACAAACAATATGAGAGTTTCTGTCAAACTGTCAAGTTTGAAGATCATCTGATGCACCTTTGATAAAAAGTTGACCAGCGACATACAACAGTGAGGCGGAGGATTGCAATGGGTTTCTACTACAATGTTCATTGTACTTTGAGATGCAGCCACAGCTTTTCTCCATCGAACAGGCGTGTATCACCTTTACGATCTCACTGTTGTCTGGACGAACGCTGCATTGGGCCCCTACTAAACCCTCAAACCGTCAAATTCAGCTATCCTCTTCCTCTGGTCCCTGCCGCCCTGGAAGAGCTCCGTGGGGCTTGCATCTTCTCCAAGCTGGACCTGCGAAGCACCTACAACCTCATTCAGATACATGATCACTCCGACAGGCCACTACGAGTAACAGGAGATGCCATATGGCCTGTCCAACTACCCCTCAGTTTTCCAGGGGTATATGAATGAGGTGTTCCGGGAGTACCCGCAACGCTTCGTCATCGTCTACATTAACGATATTCTGATCTACTCCCGTAACCTGACCGAACATCGCCAACACATGACGCAGGTCCTCCAAAAGCTGAGAGAACACCACCTCAATCTCAAGTTGGAGAAGTGCGAGTTCCACACGTTCCATCCTTCCAGTTCATTAGTTTTATCATCGACCAACGAGGTATCCAAATGGACCAGAGGAAGGTGGACACCATTCACAACTGGCCCCAACCTGTCACCATAAAGGAACTCCAATGCTTCCTAGGCTTCGCCAACTTCTACCGAAGATTCATCCAGAATTACAGTCTCCTCAGCTCACCTCACCTCACTCCTCAGAAACCGGCCCAAGTCTCTGTCCTGGAAGACTTGGCCACAGAAGCCTTTCAACGCCTGAAGAATGCCTTCATCACCGCTCCATACACCCCAATCCAGAACTCCAATTCGTGGTCGAAGTTGACGCCTCTACCACCGGGGTTAGAGCAGTACCATCCCAGCGGCAGGGTGAGCCTCCTCGACTCCATCCATGTGCCTTCTACTCCAAGAAGCTGTTGGAATTACGATATTGGAAATGGTGAGCTGCTGGCGATCAAGCTCGCCTTGGAGGAATGGAGTCATTGGCTGGAGGGAGCTCACCACCATTTCGAAGTCATCACAGATCGGAACCTGGAATATCTCAGAGAAGCCAAGCGACTCAACCCAAGACTAGCCCGTTGGGCTCTCTTCTTCACACGATTCAACATCACATTGACCTACCGACCCGGTATCAAGAATTGCAAGGCGGATGCCTTGTCCTGTCTGTATCATCCTGAACCCGAATCCAGTCTTACAGAACCTGTTCTCCCTCCAGCCGTGGTAGTCAGTCCGATTCAGTGGTCCCTCGACGATCAACTCCTCCAAGCTACCCGCAACGAACCTGCTCTGCCGGGAGGTCCTGGGGGACGGTTATATGTTCCATCCGCCTGCCGTCTGTCTCCGAGCACATACCTCTCCGGGCTCTGGACGCCTAGCTAGCCAGTGAACCCTCTCGCTCCTACAAGATAGCTACTGGTGGCCCAACATGGCCCAGGATATTTCACAGTACATCAAGGGGTGCTCAGTCTTTGCCATCACCAACACACCGAGGAAGCTACCCAAGAGAAAGTTGGTACCTCTGCCGATACCCACACCCCTGGTCACATCTGGGCATAGACTTAATGACAGACCTTCCTCCATCCAACCATCACACATGTATATTCGTCGTCGTACACCGATTCTCCAAAGCCTGCAAACTCGCGTTCGAAGCCACAGAACTCCTCTTCCAACAAGTTTTTCGTCATCATGGCCTTCCAGAAGACTTCGTATCGGACAGAGGACCCCAGTTTATCTCCCGGGTGTGGCAGGCCTTCTTCAAACTCCTCGGCGTCTCAGTAAGTCTATCCTCAGGGTACCAGCCGCAGACAAACGGCCAGACTGAGCGCAAGATCTAGGAGATCGAGAGATACCTATGGTCATACTGCCACCAGAACCAGGACAGCTGGAGCCGCTACCTCCCCTTGGCGGAGTATGCCCAGAACTCCCTGCGTCAAACCACCACTGGGCTTACTCCGTTCCAATGTATCCTCGGCTACCAACCTCCTCTCTTTCCCTGGTCCGGAGAACCTTCGGAGGTTCCAGCTATCAACACCTGGTTCAAGGAGAGCAAGAGGTTATGGGACTCAGCTCATGTGCATCTCCAGCGGCTAGTGCGAAGACACCAATGCCAGGCGGATGTCCGAAGAGCTGAAGCCACCCAATACCAGCCGGGACAGAAGGTTTGGCTCTCCACCCGCAACATCCATCTTCGCCTGCCCTGCTGTAAGCTGAGTCCCGGCTATATAGGTCCCTTCACTTTGCAGAGGCAGATCAACGAGGTCACCTACAGGCTCAACCTTCCACCTCACTACAGTATCTCACTTTCATTCCATGTCTCCCTCCTAAACCCCTTCACAGAACCTCGGTCCTCTTCTCCCACAGAACCCACCATGGACGAAGTACCTCCTCCTCCAGATGTCGCTGACGAGGACCTAGTGTACCTAGAGTCCTTACCATCCTCGACTCATGGTGATGGGGCACCCGGTTAGATTACCTGATCGACTGAGAGGGGTACAATCCAGAGGAACATTCATGGGTCTCTTGAGATGATGTCCTGGATTCGTTGCTACTCACCTAGTTCCACGAGGATCAACCAGACCGTCCAGCCCCCAGAGGTTGGGGCCGGCCCCATCTCCGAGTCAGTCAGCCATCAGGAGCCGGCCGTAGATGAGGGGGTACTGTCAGCCACAACATCACAGCCCCAATCATCACCCAATCACCAGGACCAGCTTACTGACTCGCTGCACCTGCACTCCCTCATTATCACAGCCTACATATTCACAGTTCACCATCCACTCATTGTCTGGTCTCGTCGCAGTTACCACTGCTTATCGTCAGACTCCTTACCCGTCTACTTACCTGCGATTCTTCTCGTCAGCTTCCAGTCTTCTGTCCGTCTTCCATCCGTCGTCCTGATCCAGATCTCCTGTCTTCTTGTTCACTAGTCACCTGCACAGAGAATCCACTTCAGTCTTCACCAGCTAAATCACCATCCTCTCACCATCGTCTGGTCCCCGCTGTTTCTCACCACTCTGTTCAATAAACACTGTTATAACTATAACACCTGTCTGTTTCCTTCTGTGTCGTGACACAAAGGCTGTGCCGAAATTGCAAATAATTTACTAAAGAATCCACTGTAAATTGTACCAAATACAAATAAATAATGCTCAACTGAGACATTCCCATTGTTTAAAATAAATAACCACATTCCTAGCATTAGGATCCTTTAGAAGGTAATGTTGTTTTTAGTCGAGTGATCCTGCATCTTCTCTCCTATTGACCTGATCTCTCTAACACGCCAGTGGGCGGGGCCAACGTTGCCATGATGAAGTAGGTGTTGATTTACTTCTGTAGAGGCGGTCTTTAGTTGCACTATTACGTCATAAAGAGGCACATTCCACAACCAGCTGTTCGCTGGGCTTGGTTACAATAAAACCTGTTTTTAGACTAACAAGGGCATTTTCAGTTTTGAAACTTACAGGACATTCTTATAGTATGATGATGTCTTATATGTCAAAAGATTTGATTTCTCAGTTCATGACCCCTTTAAAGCCTGTTTTACAAAAGTTTGTGTTGATAAATGTTTATGGTGTATTTTCATCATATTTTCTGTTAAGTTAAATGTGAAGCACAAATACGCTCAGCGGTGAAAGTCCACTTGCAGCTGCTCTTCACTTCTGTGACGTCTGCAGTGTGAATGATGTCTCCTGATCATATGGTGCCAATATAAACAGTGTCAACATTATTTCATCAGTGTCTAGTTTCATACCTGTTTCTCTGTCCTCTGCGCTGCCGCTGATACAGTGTCGTGGTTTTTATGTTCGTCCATCGTACACAGCACACATATAAACTTCTGGTCAGTGCGACAGAAAACCTCAAGGAGTTTATCATGTGTTTGGCAGATCATCTCCTGCAGTCGTCCAGTGGCTTCAGTCAGATTGTGCCTCTTTCCTTTAAACAAACTCTCATGTTGTTCAAGGTGACTTTGACAGTAAGAGATCAGACACACCAGACAGGACTTGACGGCTTTGTGTTTTCTTCCAGTACAGACGTCACACTGCACATCTCCAGCTCCAGCGTAACAGTCAGCAGGAAGTTTAGTCTTCTTCAGTTTCTCCACCAGTTCTGCCAGCATGGTGTTTTTAGCTAAAGCAGGTCTTGGCCTGAAGGTCTGTCGGCACTGAGGGCATCTGTAGACTCTCTTCTCATCCTCCTGATCCCAGCAGTCTGTAATACAGATCTTACAGTAACTGTGTCCACAGGAAGTGGTCACTGGGTCCTTCAGGAGATCCAGACACACTGGACACAAGGACTCATTCTGATCCACTGAAATTCTGGCTTCTGCCATTTTACTGCATGAGACACACAAACACACAACAGCTCAACTGCACTTCAGTTTACCTGAACTCAAAATGTGATTCCTTTTTTTTTTTGGTTCTGTGTTTGAATGACGTGTGCAAAACAGGTTTATCTACAAGTCTGTAAAGGAGATTCCTGTTTCAACCATAGTTCTGATGGGGAACGATGAACAATGGAACAATGGTTCTGTTTCAACCATACTCCCACACACCTGTGGGTTATTTTAAATTCAAAAACCTTTCTTAGTTGATTCAGTAACAATGGGAACGAAACTCTGTTGTGTCTCTCCAGAAATAGCTGGGGATGGGGCATTCAAACTACTCTTTGATGTTTAATTGTAGAAGTCCAGTTGAATAAAGAAAAATCGGTCTCTCACTGATTTTTGTCTGTTTATTGTCCTTATTAACACCTTCAGAACATCGTAAGAGAATTTAAATAATTCACGTTCATATAAATGATACAAAACAGTAGACTATATGGGACGGGTCACTCCATCCTACTGTTGCTGCTACACATCACCACGGACAACCACTTGGATCAGGTTTCTTTATTGCTGGAACACAGTATGACAGTGTTGAATCTTGGGTTCAGCAAATAGATCTCGGGACAACAATCTATTATCTCTGTATCACAGTGTGGGTAAATGCTATACCGATACAGGAATGTATTTGTGCTAGTTACAAATGTATGTGATGCTTCTAATGGGGAATAAACCAAATTAGATATCAAACATATTCACAACAAAAATGCATAACTTGTATCTCTATGAAATAAAATAAAACTGTGTGATCGTGTAGTGGTTTTAGAATATTTAGGCTGAATTACAATCTCTACATACAACATACAGTACATTTCAGCAGTACAATAATGAAACTGCTTGATCCATTTTACATTATATTGAACATTATCATTGCAAACGCAGCACTCGAGCACATGTTTGGCTGATCTCAAGACTACCACGCTGGTCTGCAAAATAGCTAAACTCGATTTGCACACAACAAATAACATGACGATAAAACCATTTACACAACATAAGATTATTACCTGGAACACAGTATGACAGTGTTGAATCTTGGGTTCAGCAAATAGATCTCGGGACAACAATCTAAATAGCATGTAAAGCAAGTGACAATTAGCACGCTAGTTCACATGAAAATATGCTTGGTTGCAAATCTCTAAAACATGGCTTTACAAGACACAGAAATCATCAACTAAACTCAAAATAGTTAACTGAAATCATTATAAGTACATTGCGTGACAAAATACGAGACATATGTACTTAGAATTATAAGAAAACATTCATTGTCCCAAATTGCGTGACTTACCCATTATCTCTTTATCTCAGTGTGGGTAAGTGCTAGGGTGTTTCTCAAAACCAAGAATGCAAAGAACGGACTTGTGTTCTTGGGGAGAACGCTCTTGCTAGTTGTTCTTGGAAGAATGAACTCACAAGGTGACGAGCACACAGAACGCTGCTGACAGTTTGAGACGATGTGTTCTTGCTGGTATTGCGCAATAATTCCCCCGCACAGACACCGTCTGCAGTACCCAAACATAACGAGAATTATTGACGATAACAGCCAGGCTGCAATGGTCTCTTGACTGTGGGGAAAAACGAGTCTGTGAGCAAACTGGCCGGTTGGCTCGATAGCTAGCGTTACACCCGCAGGCGCTTATGGAGATTCTCACTTCCGAAAACGTTTGAGCACATTTTCGATTAGCCATACATTTTCGTAAAATGCCAATATTTGAAATCTACACAGTTCATTTCTCGCATCAAATGTTCTCAGAAGTGAATTTAGTGATGAAATAGTGTACGTAATTGTAGAAAAACGAAATACTGTATTGACCTGCCTCTCCTTCCTCGAATGCCGAATTGAATGCTGGGATATTTCTGCCGTCAAGTTCACACAAGTTACCAGCCGATGCATCCTCGGTAAAATGGGCGTGTCAAGAACACATCCGGGATTTTTAACTGTTCTTGCCAAAATGCAAACTTGTGTATTGGGACAGTACTTGGGCCACAAAAGATGACGTTTCACAAGAACACAAGGACACAAGTACAGACAAGAACACAGATTGAGAAAGGCCCCTAGTGATGGCCGGTTCGTGAACGAATCGTTCTTTTGAACCGGTTCTTTTTAGTGAACCGGTCGAACCAGTACACTAAATCGGACTAAATCGTTCGAAACAGTTCGCGTCTTGCGTCAGTGCTGATACACAAGTTACTAAAGTTACTCACTTTCAGACATGCCTGACAGTCCCTCTGACTCGAAATAAACCAATATCCCGGAGTATATTTCACTCCAGTAAATCCAACAGTTTGAAACGTGTTGTTTTTGAGAGAAGTGATGAGCACGAGCAGCTGATACTGCGCATGCGCGTACTACCGAACGCACATGTACAGCGGTTATCGGATCACCAGTACAGAACCGAGAACCGTTTCTTTCGGACACGTTCGACATAATGAGAACAACTGATCGATGAGCTAAGCATGCGTGCACTTTTTTTCTGAGGGACGAAATGTACGTTTCTTAAGTATGCCTATTTATTTAGTTGAACATCAGTAGCCTAAGTGTAATAAAATAAAACTTGTTGGAAACATGTTTATCACAAAATACTGTATTATCACTGTATGATTTTAAAGTTTGGAAACACAATGAATGGATTGTAAAACTGCCAAACTAAACATTTATTAAAATAATATTTTCAGGAACAGCTCATTTAATTTCTAAGTAAGTTGATATAAATATTTGATGTATACTCTTGCCAAAGTTTTAATGGTGCACACTGCACAGTACTGCTTAGTAAATGTTTATAATGTGTTAAAACATAACGTATTAAACATATTGGAGAAGAAAGACATGCATCGATTTTTTTAGTTTTGTCGACTGTATATTCAGGTTTCAGCAGTTCTCAGCTCAGCACACAGGCCTATGCTACGGTTCTCGAGTCAAGAACTGGTTGTTGCAGTTCTTGAATCACCAGTACAGAACCGAGAACTGTTTATTTCGGACACGTTCGATACGGAGAACCGATGAGCTGGAGATACTGCGCATGCGTGATAGCACCGTCTCTAAACAGAACTTTCTTTCGGCCAACTGATGAGCACGCAGCACGGGTGAACTGAGGACTTAAATGAGGGGCCGAATTCGGCGAAATGTAAGTTTATTACAAATAAAATGATGAAGACCACTTATGCACTTTATATATTTAAGACATGTTAAACATCCGCGTTTGCACATCGCCTGTAGGCTACAGGGTTCGTTTGCAAAATGTAAATGTAAGAAACTTATCCAAGAGGATTATGACGATGAGTACTATTATTTAAGTTAAGTTATGATTACAAATGCCTTTAATTTAAAGACCCACTCCGATGAAAATAATGTTTTTCTAAGTGTTAACATGTTCTTGTGGCATTTTTCTGATGGTAGAGGACATATCTTGAGAAAAATAAGCTCAAAGTTGTATTTCTGAGTATTTCTACATTCAAATGGCTGTGAATCAGTAGCAGACGCTAAAATGCCGGCTAAAATCGACTGGAGTTGTGACGTAGTAACTCCACTGGGCGTCTCCACACGCGACGTCTTGGAGTGAAATAATGATCGGTGATCGGTGATAACTTTGATTAACTTCGGATAATAATAATTAGCGTGTATATAATACTGTTGCCCCACCGGTATTGGGGGTGTAAGCTAGCGGGAGAGACAGAGCTCTCAGCAACGGGCAGGGGGAGGGTCGTCTCCGTGCCAACGGCTCCGCCCATAACGCAGAGGCGAATTGCTAATGAGCTACTGCCGCTCTGCTGAAGCGAAGTCCCAGAAAACGGCACAGGTTTTGTGATTTTGGCTAAAAATGGCATAATCATAATTTAAAGACCACTGGGAATGTTTAAAAATAGCTCAAAATATGATCGGAGTGGGACTTTAAAGTATTTTTATCCGTCGGGATGATATAACTGACGTCATTACGGGAGGACGTAAAAGAACTGGTGAACCGGTTTTTTTAACCGGTTCATTGAAACGAACTGTCCGAAAGAACCGGTTCGCGGAAAAGAACCGAACTTCCCATCACTAGTAAGTGCAACGCGATTCCCACAGTCACATTGAATCAAACTGCCCCTAGATGGCGTAGTTCCATCACTTTTAATATAATTAGGTGTTCAAGCACAAAGTGCTGAAAACCTATTGCAATTGCTATTTGAAGAAAAAAATAACCTAAAACACATCGTGCAGCCCAAACCGGAAGGCCTAGAGACTTGAAACCTGGCCAGGTGCTAGGGCCTCAGTTTGGGGAGAACCTATCAGAGTATGACCCTGATTGGCCCATAGGTGGCGCTACAGTAACCAAAAGTACTAAATTGCTCATAACTCCTAGACCGTTTGACTTAGAATCAAGCTTTTTACACCACTGTGATCCTTGGCTCAAGGTGGTCAAAATGTATATCTCTAAAATCGATTTAGGCCAGAAAAAGTTTCTGCTATGTCCAATTTTGTCCAAAACCTACTTTCGCAAACTAGTCCCTGGTTTTTCGCCCGATCGGAACCAGACCAGTCTAGGACAATTCTCTGGACTCTCTAGATCAATAACTATCGAAAAAAAGTTGAACTTTGCCCTTTGGTTCACTGTAACAGGGTCATTTAGAAAAGGGGGCGTGTCAAAATACACTCAAAAGCCTATAAATCATAAATAAAAACTCAGAACTTCACAAAAATTGATGAGCACATGTGTCATAACATGGTGAAGAAGCATGCAAGGTTTCATGGAGATCGGACCATAGGTGGCGCTATAACTGTCAAAAAGCTTTTAAACCATATATTTCCTATGGTAAATTGCCTGTATTGGCTGTAAATGCTGATCTCTTAAATGAATGCTCATATCTTCTTTTAAAAAGGTCAAGAACATGTGTAACATCACTCTGAACGGCATTGAAAAATTTCAGACAAATCGCCAAATTTGCCTCTAAAAATAATTTTCACAGGAAGCCTCAAAACGAAAGTAAAACGAAAGTAAAACGTTGGGCCACTATCTAAG